TTGCCCATCTTTCCAGCAGACTGCATGAGTTCCTTGCCCTTGGTTCCAATCTGGTTGCTCGAGTTTCCGAAGCCGCTGGTGCCGGATGGCACGGATCCGCCAAGTCGAGATCGCCCTGGTGGTGGCCCTGTCGTAGGCGAGCTTGCATTAAGATACTGCTGGTAATACGGCTGTTGATTGTGAGAAAGGCTGGGACCTGATGCGTGTCCCTTTTGACTTGTGGGCACCCCGGCTCCGGAGAAGGAAGAAGTTCCGTTCGCGTATTCGGGATGCTCGGTCATCAGATTAGACAACCAGTTCTCCAGACCTGACTCCCACGCTTGGTGTGTAGCCAGACCCGCTTCAAACTTGAGAGTCCTTTGAACGGGTGTTGCTAGGCTCATGATATCGCGCCATGGGGTAGTCTGAGGGAACTGACTGGGAGGAAGAGCTTTGGTCGACTTATCTGGGGGTGGCGATGCTGACGTAAGATTTGAAGGTATCTGAGTCAATGATTTATTCTCTGCAACAGATGGACGACGATTTTCAACGGTTCGAGGAGTTGCATCATCATTTTCGATAGAGACGGGAGAAGGAGGCTCCAAAGTAGCTGGCTGCTGGCTTGGCGGTAGCGTGCTGGCTTTGGAAACTTGATGAGAAATGCCACCAGAAGGTGGGATGATGATTCTGGGAGTCTCGGCATTTCGAGGTGACTCTTTAGTTTGGCTGGCAACATCTAAAGCCTCGTCCTTTGGAGATTGGACTCCCGCTGGTGCTAGAGGTGAAGGAGAAGCTGGACGAGGAGCGTCGTTGTTGAAAGTACCAGAGGGCGGCTCGACAGGGAGAATCTTTGGTGGGGAATCGAAACCAGCCTCCCAAGAGAATCTACGCCGTGAATCAGACTTGGGTGACTCGGGCTGAGCGGTAGGGTGGGATTCGGTAGACACCACGATGCTAGACAGTGGTTGGACAGTTGGCTGCTGTTGCTGCTCATGCACTGGAGAGGTCTCAGTCTTGGGCTTCTCTTGGACCTCTGCTTCGATCTTCGAATCTTGCCCGGGTTTCTCGTTTGAATCGGCCCAATAGCTATCATAATCGCTAAGGGTATAGCTGCTGTTACGAGTGACACCTCGGTCACCTGGTGTCAAAGACTGAGAATTATCGGGCAGAGGTCGAGACACTGCAGAGCTTGGTGTTGGAGCAATGGGGCTAAGGGACCTCATGATTTCCTCACTCAAGACGTCACTTTCCTTAACAGGTGACGAATTGAAAGTGTTCAAAGATCCTTGTGTCAAAGCAGAATTTGGCTCGTAGTTCGAAGGAGAGTAATCCGGTTGTCGAGGGTGCAGAGGCTCTGTGGGCGTAATCTTCGAGTCGGTGGCTGATGCAGGTTCTCTAGGTGATGGGAAGAGTCCCTTTGAGTTCGGGCTTGGTGTACGCAGAGGTGGAACAGCTCGAGGATCATTCGCGGGGGCAAGAGAGGTATTGCTGTTAAGTCCAGGAGTGCTGGTGTTGTCTTCACTTTCTCTGGGCTTCTCTTCTAAAGTTGCGAGATTTCCGGGGCTATCAGTTGCTTGACTGGGAACTGAAGGTTGGTCTTGCTTGGTCGGGTCTTGGGCAGAGGCAGGAGCGCCCGGATTGCTTCCCGAGGAGAAGAAATCAGCGCCAAATACTGACATACGCGCAACATCGGGAAGCTGCGGGCTGACAGATAATCGCTTTCGGTCTATGTCTGCAGGCGAATGAATCACAGTTTCTTCCTTGTGACTAGCAGGCTCCGGAGAAGCAATGCTGTCCAAAGTGGGAGGATCGGGCAACCCCTGAGATCCTAAACCAAGCTCCTCACGCTTCGCAAGAATGGCATCAAAAGTTGGCTGCTTCTGGACCTTATCAATCGCTGGGCCATCTCCTCGACCGTGTCCTGGCTGGTTCGGTTCATTGATGGGGGGTGTAGAGCGATCATCGGGTCTGGGTGCAATATTCTCTGCGATGGACAATGGTGACCCGCCCAACTTACGCTCATCATCTATATGGCGGAAATCGGGTCGGATTGAAGGCGAAGCACGAGCAGCGGAACTTGCGGTGCTCTGCGGGGTAGAGGATCGTACGTCGGGCTGTTGATGATAACTGGGCGCTTTCGAAGATCCAGCGCCTGAAGACAAAGGAGCAGGTGATCCGGTTCGTCCTGTAACCGGCGACGAAACATTATGGGATTGTTCTGGGTGGCCTGGGTTGGGCACATCCGGATGGTTTGTCTGAAGCTGTAGCGAAGGCGCGTTGCTTGAGCTGCGAGAACTGGAAGCGACAGCGGCAGCCAATCTTGGGGAGGGTCCAAATGATTCGGTTCGTTGTCCAACCGGTCGGAGACCTGTTGTTACTCGAGGAACCGGGGGAGGCGGCGGCGGCTCGTCATCCTCGAACTCGTCGGCGCCCCAGTCGTCACCATCGTAATTCTGAGTCGGCGCCTGGACCCATTTCCTCGTCTTCGTACGGTTGACGTTGACCTGATATCCTCCAGGCGTTTGTGGAGATCTAGAAGCGATTGCGGATTAACGGTGAGAAACTTTAGATATTTGCGAAGGATAATTACAATGGAGATTGCGACTGCCCTTGCGCATAAGGGTTATTATATGTCCCATCCATGTCGTGTTTGGGGTTTTTAGCCAAACTCGACTATCGAAGCATTCTTGGACGACCTCGTGATGCTTGATGGAAATCCAGCGGTCGGCGGCGTTGGCAACAGTTGAACTGGGAGGACGTGGCAATAGGATTAGGTGTACCGGGCTATTTATCGGGTTCGGCGATGATGATCGGCGGCGGAGAAAGTAATGCGTCGGTAGGTGACGGACGGTTGGTCAAGATTGACAAAGAGCTTAAAATACAAGGTCTGCAAGCCAAGAAACACAAACAACAAAAAGAGTCAATACAACAAGAAGAAGAATGAGATCAAGGTAGCAGAACAAAGAAGGCTATGGCAAAACAGTAGATGCCAACGACAACTTGTGAATGATGGCGACAAGATGGTGATAGAAACAAGGAGGCGGAGTTACGTTTCTGGTGGTGGTCGGGAGCGAGCGCGAATGCGAATGGATGGTTGAATGAATGGTGCGGTCAGGCACTTTTGTCACCTTTGGCTTAGTGCTATGCTGCCCGCCGCTGTGGTAGCTCGTTGGAGATTGGATGACGGAGGTGGATGGGGCACTTCAGGCGGTTGCAGTTCTAAAGACTGGGGGCCGCGGACAACTTGAACCACTAATAAAGGAAGACAAGGAGTCGAATACACAGGAGCATCAAGATACCCCAGTTTGCCCAGCCTCGTTGAAACCCAAGAAATAGAAGATCACTGCGAGGATTACATATTACGACGGTGATTTTTTATGGCAGCCGTTATCATACAGGGGACGACTAGTCTACCTAGAAACGACAAAAAAAGAAACCAAAATGGGTCGATCGATGGAATGAAATTATCAGCGGAGTCAACCCAACATTAGAATGATTAGATCTTTATTATTAGGTCCTCACTGGCACGAATTTACGAGATCGTCTGCTAGCTTAGGTGGACTCCCGTCACTTCGCGTTAGTGCACGGAATGGACGTTTATAGAGCAAGTAATTAAAATCCACGTTGATAATTATCCCAATTATCCTTAGAGACATGGATCAAGAACTGGCCATTGCTATTTTTGACATGTCCTTGCTTTTCATCCTGGGGAAACGGTTTATTATTGTTCTACGCCACGGGATATAAGACAAAGAAGAAAATAGCTTCAAGTCTACCGAGTCAAGATACCCGTGAGCTCGCGTGTCCTTCTGTGTTAAGCCCCCTCCGATGTTGCACATAAGGTACTGTAATTATTCTTGGAGCCTTGGAGATTGATCACCTGAATTACGGCCGTTGAAGAGTTTACTGTTTAGTCAAGGGGGGCTTAGTGCCTCGGTCCTCGTCACCTACCCACTAGGATGATCCAACCCTTTTGACACCTCGTGATAACTTTACCTTTACGGCACTGGCCTCAACATCACGAACTACGAACCCTCTGCATAACAGGTGGCTTTCTTGGTCCCTTATATCTCCTCATTGGTGTATCATGTATGCGAGTTTTACACAGCATTCAACGCAAATGTCACACGTAGACACGGATTCCCAAGTTACACATGCACACGTGCGACCATGGATGTGAATAAAAAAGACAGCAACGCCTTCATTAACTTGCTTTTGATAGGACAGGTGACGTCGACTATGACACGTCTTTTAGGATACCAGGATTTTGAGTGCCAACCATCAAACGGCTGTGAGTTGCTGACCTAACCACTAATTCTTCCAGTGGCCGTCCTGAAGTCTGTGCAGTGTTGCAGATTTCTAGTTGATGGCATGGAAGCTGTCAGTTATTGCGTGTCTAACAAAGAATGGCAGAATGGTAAACAGGTAAGGGGTTCAATGCCGTCATTCCCGCTCACCCTAGGCTCCACTTGATTGCAGAATAAGATGATTGGATTTGATATACGAGGTAAAGTTCAGACTTTGGAGCTATGAAGAAGCTACGAACATATAATCTCGATACGAAGAAATGGTATTGATTGTAGGGAGGCTTGGTGGTGGTCTTTACGAGCTTGTAGCAGAGGCTTCTTATGAGAGTATGCAGTTATCGTGTAGATCACTAAGATGATTGAACAATGAAGAACCCCTTACTATGAGTTTAACACTTTACTACATATACCAAGCATCTCGAATACTAAATAGACTAATAAAGTGTATATAGTCTTTATGGCAAATCTCTGATTAACTCACGATACGCAACCTTCAACCCTCCATGTAGACATACAGGCCATGATTGTGATAGCACTTTTCAGTCCCAGTAGAAGTACATGTTCAAAGCATATCCATACTTATCGATATAAAATACTTCATTACCTACTCGCGTCAATATATCCTTCGCTGATGCTGTAGCTTACTGATCTTCTCAAAGTTCAACTTCAAACTCAGCCACATATAAAGCCACACATCTAATAACAGTCTGGCCAGCATTAATAAAACAGCCAGCGTGGCGGATCACACTCACTGACTGAACCTACCCCTGCCCCTCGACCAGACTGGACCAGTCTGGAACAAGCCAACGACACGTTCCCCAATCTCCTTTCAGACGCAACGACAACCAATTCAAATCAAACCTCATTTGTCTCTGGCATTCTTTGTTGCGCATCTACCGTTTAACTTAGCTCTCTCTAGCCTTTTTCTCCATTTAGTACCACTCCGAGGCTTCGCGACACTTTAATTCTCTCTTACACATCACACTCTGGACCAACTTCTTCGATTCGAATCGCCAAAAAGTACTCCTTTCTAATTATCCTGCTATTCGTTCGTCCGCGTCACCCCTCGACGTTCCGTTTCGCCTGCGCTGCCAACCGAGACCTGATCCGGACCCTTCCACATCGACGTTCGACATTCGCAACTCGACACATCTACAGTGAAACACAAGTCGCATAGGTGGCATATTTATCGCTGCTATCTATCACATCGATCCCCGACTCTTTTCGAGACACGAAGCCGCGCTGGCCGCAGTCTGACATCTCGGCTTTTATCCTTAACCCCTCTTAATTTGGCCACATGGCTGTTGCATCTATTCAAGACCGAACCTCTGAGTTCAAGTCGGTACTCGCCCAGACACAGCGAAAACAATCTTCCTCAAAAGTCAGCTCTCAGCGCCGGTCTCTATTGACTGATGCGCAAAAAGATGCCGCCAACGGCCATGCTGGAGGTCCCCCAAGACGATCCGAGTTCGCCCGGAAGGCTGCTGAAATTGGACGTGGCATCTCTGCGACTATGGGCAAGTTGGAAAAGCTAGCTCAATGTGAGTACTATCTGCCAATCTCGGTGACGCGAATGCCCGGCGTAGTTCATAGTTCTAACCTCAAGAAATAGTGGCGAAGCGACGAACACTTTTCGACGACCGTCCTGTGGAAATCAACGAGCTTACTTTCGTCATCAAGCAAGATCTCTCGTCTCTGAACCAGCAAATTGGAGCTCTTCAAACACTCACCAAGCAACAGCACCCCAAGGCCGATCAGGAGGGCGAGCACAACAAGAACGTTGTCTACCTACTACAAGGCAAGCTCACCGACGTCTCGGTCAACTTCAAGGAAGTTCTTGAGGCCAGAACCAAGAACATCCAGGCATCGCGATCAAGAACAGAGAACTTCATCTCCTCCGTGTCGCAACATGCTCAACCATCAATTCAACAGTCGGCTTCTCCTCTCTACGGAACACCAGCTCGCAACTCACCCGCACCAGGAGCTCAAGATACCCTGTCTCTCAACCCCGTTGGCGATCAACAGCTGCTGATGATGGAAGAGGCACAGCCCTCCAACACATATATCCAACAACGAGGCGAAGCGATTGAAGCTATCGAGAAGACCATTGGTGAGCTTGGCAGCATTTTTGGACAACTAGCTACCATGGTTTCGGAACAAAGCGAGATGATCCAGCGCATTGACGCCAACACAGAAGATGTGGTCGATAATGTTGAAGGAGCACAGCGAGAGCTTCTCAAGTACTGGAACCGAGTATCAAGCAACAGGATGTTGATTGCCAAGATGTTTGGAACGCTAATGATTTTCTTCCTGTAAGTTCACCTTTTGCCTCCAGGACACCAGCAAGGCTACATTCAAGGATATCCAGCAGTTACTAACAAAATTTAGGATCTGGGTTCTTGTTTCGGGCTAAACCTAGACGACGAAACGCAACACAAGACACGAGAAAAAGAGGCGGGCGCGGAAAACTTGGACCAAGGAAGGGAGTTTACGGCACATGTTTTGTTGTAACGGGGTACTATTCGATAGGTGCACTTCTTTTCCATATGTACGTATGTTTGTACCTTATACTTTGTAGTCGTTTTTTTCTTTAGAGATGGATTGGAACGACGTGGCATAGAGGGAAAGGGTCTTGCAGGAAGACTCTCGTCGATGGCTCATGTTGGGGGTTTCGGGATTAATAATGAATCAGTAGATCCTCAATGGCATAGACTTACATATTGAGTGACAAAGTATCAGGCATTTCCGTGAATAGAGTGGAATTGTTTATGATTGGTCTCATGGCTTTGGCAGTTGGCTTCAGAAGCAACCCCCACGTTGACGGGATTGATATATCACGGCCAGGATATGAGATATAGCCGATATAGCATCATCAGCACAGGATATATAAAGAGGCAGAGTCGGCCATCGGCCCTTTAAATTTTCCTACACACTTTTCTAGCATACAATCGAGTGTAGAAAACCCGGTATTCTCAGGAAGGGTAACAACTCCATAAACAGCGCCTTTCAACCTTTGGGGGCATCGCCGGCCGGAGTTCTCACCGACCTCTTTACCACTCCAAGCCTCAACTCACCATCTCAAGCCCTCGGAGCAACCCCACCCCGAGAAATCTCCATCGATCAGCGCTTTTCCGTGTAAACTGCACCCCAAACTTGCTCGAAGAGGCAAAAATGCCCCTCGAGCTCGGTGACATGCCTAGCGTTTTGGCGGGGTTCACCCCGCAAAGATGAGCGTAGATTGGGGGGGCTTTTTTATGGAAGAATACTGTAATAGAGTAGCTCGGTAGATTAAGCTACGTAGGCATGAGGGGCATTGGGTCATGTTCATGATGTGGCAGCGGTTTATAACCTGCACGTCTCCCGCTTCTGTACGAGCTTCTTCTCTTGTGTTTTGTTCTAGATCCCTCTCATCTTCTTCACGATATCCACCGTCTTACAAGATTCACACAATGGCTCCCTCTACCTTCAAGCTCAACACTGGCCAGGAGATCCCTGCGCTTGGTCTCGGTGCGTTGTTTTCACATGTTTTAAGCCTCAAGAGCTCAATTGACTGATTTTTGTTGCTTGTAGGTACCTGGCAGTCCCCCAGTGGCGAGGTCGAGAAGGCCGTCACATACGCTCTCAAGGACGGTTACAAGCTGATCGACTGCGCCTACTGCTACGGAAACGAAGAGGAGGTTGGTGCTGGTCTCAAGGCTGCTTTTGAGGCTGGTGTCAAGCGTGAGGACATCTTTGTTGTCACCAAGGTCTGGGCCACTTATAACACCCGCCCTGAGCTTGGTCTCGACAAGAGCTTGAAGGCTCTTGGACTTGACTATGTTGATCTTTTCCTGGTGGTAAGTTACGACTCAAAAGAACCTTTGAGTTTACTTGCTAAGCGGTTATAGCACTGGCCTCTTCTCCTCAACCCCGAGGGTAACGACGACAAGTTCCCCAAGAAGCCTGATGGTTCCCGAGATGTTATCCGAGACTACAACCACGTCGATGGCTGGAAGCTCATGGAGAAGCTCCCCGCTACTGGCAAGACCCGTGGTGTCGGTGTCTGCAACGTGTGTTAATCACCTTCAGTCCACCAGTCTCAGCTAACACTCGGTATAGTACAGCAAGAAGTACCTCGAGGAGCTTCTGCCTCATGCCACTATCATCCCCGCCGTCAACCAGATCGAGAACCATCCTAGTCTTCCTCAGCAGGAGATTGTCGACTTCTGCAAGGAGAAGGGCATTCACATTGAGGCATATAGTCCCTTTGGCAGCACTGGTGGCCCCGTCATGACTGCTGAGCCTGTTGTCAAGATTGCCGAGAAGAAGGGTGTCTCCGCCTCTACCGTCCTCCTCAGCTACCATGGTAAGTCTCATGAACCTGATCGTGAAAAGTATATTGCTAACAGTCTTCTAGTCGCCCGTGGCAGCACCGTCCTCGCTAAGTCAGTCACCCCCGAGCGTATCACCGCCAACAAGACCATTGTCGACCTTGACGACGAGGACATGAAGGCTTTGAACGACTACTCGGAAGACCTTGTCAAGAAGGGCGAAGTCAAGCGATATGTCTACCCTCCCTTCGGCATCGACTTCGGTTTCCCCGATAAGTCATGAATCAAAGGTCGGCTATAGTTATATGATATTGGGAATAAAGATGAGATATGATGAAAAGCGGCATTGAATGATATTGCATCTATGATAGATCAGAAGCTCAAGTTGGCTTCATGAATAGAAAAAGTAAAACTCATGAATATTCGACGTTGCTTAATGTGCTAGTGCTTGCTTTGACGTAATATAGCCATAATGCTTCGAGGACCAAGTCATAGGAACACCCCATGGGATGCTTCTAGTTTGGACTACAATGGGATCTGCCGAACTGCGATGCCGCGTCTGCGATTCTGGCCTGAAATGCTAGTATGTAACTTTCTGCATGTCCAAAAACTGGTTATTTCGTTTGCATCTTAGTGGAAGACTTTGTGGCTGTTGAACATACAACTCTCTCAACACCGTCTTCCATAGGTATGTTCACTCATCAGTCAGACAAGTCAAGTATAGCAGCGAGAAAGGTCAAGGTGCAGTATTAACTTGTCAAACATCTCATCATTTTGCCAGAAACTAGGTATCTATAATCTTCAAGACCCCATACAACACGCCTTTTATCCCATTCATTAAACCCTCACTGTTAACACCCACAACCGTTATTAATTTACAACCGACCTTTTAGTCATTTTTCGTTGAAGTCCACAACAACCTTGATAACAAGGTTGCCTTGCTCATCTCTCACCTTGCCAGCCATCTTGAAAGCCTCCTCAATGTTCTCCATGCCCTTGTATCTTTGAGTGACCAGACGGCTCACGTCAGGCATTTTGGCAGGAGGGTTGGCCAGAAGCTCAATGATCTCCTTGTACGTGTTGGCGTAACGGAAGACACCCACGATGTCGACTTCGCGAAGAGCAGCGGCCGAAATGGGGATGGTGAGGACGGGAGTTCCCATGCCAATAATCATGACCTTGCCTCCAGGCTTGGTAGCGTAGATGGCTGTTTGCACACAGGTTTCTACACCAGTGCACTCGTACACAGCTGTAGCCTCACCGACAGCCTCTCCGTTGACCTGTGTCTCCTTCACCATAGCAGCGACCTTCTGAGCAAAGGCGAGCTTGTCCTCAATAGTTTGTGGTCGCTCCATGGGAACGACTACTGAAGCATCGGCGAAGCCGTTGTTGATGGCAAAGTCAAGGCGGTCCTTGAGGATATCGGCGATGATGACGGTCTTGGCTTGGTCGGCCTTTGCGACAGCGGCTGCGAGAAGACCGACGGCACCGGCGCCGAGAACGAGGACTGTTGAGCCCTTGGGGAGAGCGGCGCGATCACGGGCGTGCATTGCGACTGAGAGAGGCTCAACGAGAGCGCCGAGATCGAGAGTAACATGTTCGGGCATTCTGAGCCAAAGTCAGTACATTTCTCAACTGAAGAAGCTTCAATTGTCTTACTTGTGGCACCACTTAGCAGGGTGGTTGATTCTCTCCTGTAGAGTTCCCTGCGCATGAGGATTGGCCTTCGCTGAGCTGCGGAACTTCATTCCACGGCAAATGTTGTAACGACCCTCACCACAGAGCTCACAAGCCTCACAAGGAAGACCAACCTCGAGCGCGACATGGTCGCCAGGCTTGAGATGTGTAACGTCTGAGCCGACGGCTACGACTGTGCCTGCAGACTCATGGCCGAGGGTGAGAGGTTCGCGAACGATGATGTCGCCGTTGCGGAAGTGGTTGTAGTAGTGAAGATCGGAGCCGCAGAGGCCGGTTGACTTGACGGCGACCTGGACTTCGTTGCTTGAGGGTGCCGGAAGTTCACGTTCTTCCTGTCAATTGAGTCAGTCTGCGATCTTGAATGCAATTGAGTAATGGTGTTTACCAGACGGAGATCCTTCTCGCCGTGGAGGACGGAGGCCTTGACACGCTCAGTTGCCATGATGAAGGTATAAGAGAGGCGAAGGTGGTGGTATGATGAAGGGAATGATTAAAGAAGAGCAATTGAGTAATTGGTGAACTATTGTGACAGGAATATGCAGAAAATGGCCAGTGTTGCAGATGCAAAAGTTATTGGAAGATAATGGATCAAGACGAGAGCGAGAGGGGGGTTAGTAAAGGGCGGAGCTAAACAAGGACATTCAAGCCAGGGCCGATGTCGACCAAATATCGGATTGGACAGAAGCTATTCTACTACAATCCCTAATTGATTCTCAAACTAATATCGCGGAGAGAGGACCGAGATGGCCTCGGAAAAGGCGCCCCACGATAACATCGAAATGCCCCGCGACGAGACATCCCATGACGTGCAATGCCCCCATGACAGCAAAAAAAAGAAGAGAGAATCTTTATCCGCAGTGGTAGAGCCAGTGTTAGCGTGCCCCCACTGCCCTGTATCCCGCGGGGTGAAGCGCTAAAGATTGAGCCGTTGGGTTTAGGACGATCCACTGTTTTGGAGAGTGTTGGAGAAGCCCTGGGAGGAAACGTTGGCCGATTCATGAGCTGGATCAAGGTGAATAACAAAGTTGTCTCTATAAAGAATATTTTATCTTGAGATAATCATTAGGTGTTTGTAGCCTTGATTGTATGAGCTGTTATCCAAAGAGCTGCATGGTACCAGTCTCTGGAGATATCTCATGATACAGAATCAGCATCATCCCTCTGCGGGGATCCAAAGCTCGTCTTCGGCCTTCTCTCCGACCTTCACAAGCCGGTTGAATGTAAACCTACAAAGTAAACCTGCATTACGAACAAATAATCAATTGGCCAGTTCTAGTCCGGTCCAACTCGCCAAATTAGAACCAATCCGGCTCCTCCTAAGTCGGAGCTCAAAAGTTTACCCCTCGGTCATTAATAGCGTAATACCCCAGCCCTTCTCATGGTGGAACTGACTGCCCCTCGTTAAATAAAACAAAAAACATTACCAATTCCTCACGACGTCAGTAACTAATATCTCAAAATGTCTGCTTCTTTCTTCTCCCTTGAGGGCCAGACTGCTCTCGTAACTGGCGGTACGCGTGGTATTGGCCAAGCTGTAGCGATTGGTCTTGCTGAAGCTGGTGCCGATATTGTTCTTGTTCAGGTATGGGACATCTCATGATGAGGCCAGAACTCGAGACTAACTGGACGTACAGCGAGATACTACATCACAGTCAACAAAAGAGTCTATCGAGAAGCTTGGCCGAAAGGCTTTTATTTACACTGCTGATCTATCGTCGCAAGAATCTGTTGCTGGGCTTGTGCCTAAGGTGCTAGCCGATGGACACCAGATTCGCATCTTGGTGAACTGCGCTGGTATTCAGCGACGACACCCTTGTGAAGTCTTCCCTGACAGCGACTTCAATGAGGTATGAAAAGTCACTCTCTGTTGTAAAATGTGTCTAACAACGTCTAGGTCATCCAAGTAAACCTCAACTCCGTCTTCACCCTCTGCCGCGACGTCGGCGCCCACATGCTCAACCTCGAACCTTCCCCCATCACCGGCCGTCGCGGCAGCATCATCAACTTCGCCTCCCTCCTCACCTTCCAGGGCGGTTTCACTGTCCCCGCCTACGCCGCCTCCAAGGGTGCGGTAGGCCAAGTCACCAAGAGTTTCGCCAACGAGTGGACCTCAAGGGGCATCACCGTAAACGCCATTGCTCCCGGTTACATCGCTACCGATATGAACGAGGCTCTTCTCGCAAACCCAGAACGTCTTGCTAGTATTACTTCGCGAATTCCTGCTGGTAACTGGGGTTCACCGGATGACTTCAAGGGTACAGCTGTTTATCTGGCGAGTAAGGCCAGTGGGTATGTGAGTGGGCATGTGTTGGTTGTTGATGGTGGTTGGATGGGCCGATAAACGATACGTTTGAGGGTGGTCTCTGGAGCAAGCTTGAAAATAGATTATAATATAATATCTTTGGCGTTTTTACAAAGTTGGAATGGCGAGTGATTAACGACGGGCGCGAACAAGTCTTCGTTTGGCCAAGCGAAGAGAACCGCTTGGGTCGACGAAAGTCGTGACTCGGTTTGTGAGGTGCCTAGCGATATGGAAAGCATCAGGGTTCTTGGACCGGACACTGTAGCGATCAACTTGGCAAGAATTCCACAGTATCAGGCTATCACCTACAGCAATTGCAAAGCCGCAATTCGGACTTTGATGAAGGAATGACTCAGCTCGTCGGACATGTTGATACTGACTTGGGGATTTCGACGAAAAGACTTTAGAGAACTGGTCGAGACTGAAGGTATTCAGCTGGTTGGCTGTAGCTAACAATTCGGCATATAAGCAGGTTTTATGCGCAAACTTATCGGTCATTTACATGTGCTTCGAATCGGAAGCCGAATATGGAACCTCACTCAGCTGATGGTCCATGTCATACAACAGCTTACATGGATTTTCTCCGAATGTCTCGGGTTACTGCTAAGATCACTCCGTCGCTCGGTAACTGTATAAACAGTGCAAGAAATTTCGTCTATATTCTCCCGTCCAGATCTACCTCTAAACCCACCCAGTATCGTATCCTCTTTAGATTTTGCTTCCTGCGCCATGCGAAACCGCATCAGCCTCTGTGTAACGCACACAAACGATAACAAAAGGAAACATGCGCATGCGCCACGCATACGCATACGCATTTCATAATATCGTAGAATCACTTAATGAAATCACTGGGATTTACCCTTTGAGCCTTCATAGTAGTGGGCCATCTGGAGGCCTGCTCTTCGGAAGCCGCACTTGACGTAGAAACCCTCGTTGGCTTCGCTGCAGTCGAGGATGCTCTTGTAGCAGCCAACTTGCTCGGCGATGTGGTCGAGGGCTTGGATGATTCGGAGACCGAGCTTCTTGCCCTGCTGGTCCTTTGCGACGGCGATATCTTCGATGTGGCCTACGGCGCCCAGGCTGTGAATGCTACAGACTGTTAGCGATTGTCTGAGAGAGATTGAAGGTCATTGACTTACAACTTGCGCTCAGTGATCAAGGCGCCAGTTCCAACAACAGGCTTGTCTCCGCGCGAAGTGTCCTCAATGATGATAATGTAGTAACTGCCAGCAGCGAGCATGTCATCGTACTGCTTGGCGAAATCGGCTTCAGTGATGTCGCCAACGGTGGTCAAGACACGCAAACAGTCGAGAAAACCGCTGTTGAAGTCTGACTTTCGCAGAGCGCGCAGAGTATAACCCTCGGGGAGAGCGGCGCTGACCTCAGGGGAGAGGAGGTTGGCGCTGAACATGCCTTCTTGAGCCATGGCGGTGTCGGTGTCGATTTGGCGGAGTGGTTGTGTTTGGCGGGGTGGTTGTCGAGAGGCACGGGAGATGTCTCAACAAAAAGACCTTGAGAGATATTCAAACAGAGCAATTGAAGAGAGATATACTCAAAAGAACATGTAAGATGTTGAGATATTATCGAGGTAAGATCTGGAAGCGGTTTCGTCTTTTTCCGTTTCAGAACAGAATGGGCGGAGTCTTGAGCTGAGCTTGGCTTGTCCTTTCCCGTACCTTTTGTGTTTAGTGCCCCCCACTGGTTCTATATCGGGGACGATTTACCATCATCGCTCAGGGGTCAGCGAGTCACAGCCTCAAGGCGATCCCGACACTTGAAAAAGAGGCCAAAGGACAAAAAGTGTGGTTCCGCCCGGGATCGAACCGGGGACCTTCTCGGTGTTAACGAGATGCCATAACCAACTAGACCACGGAACCGAGGTATTTGATTGGATGGGAATGAGGGAATCAGTTGGGGTTCAAGATTGTGGTATTGGTGGAGGGCGATGAAGCTGTTGCGAAGTCACTCCATGGTTCACTTATACGGATGAAAGGAAAGCTCCAGTCTTATCTATCAGCCGGATAGATACATTAAGCAAACTCTCGTGGCGAGTTTATTGCATAAAGCCAAGTAACGCAATCCAAATTGCTATTATAGACATCCTACGACCGCTAAACACATGCTGTGGTTCGTTATGCGATACAGGCGACTATGAGATCAGGAACACAAACGGTCGAGCCGCAACAGATGGTCCCTTCTGTTTACTTGAGTCAAATCACATGCTTGAAGCATGGCATGAATAGATGGAAAGGCGTCACCAGTCATTCAAGGATAAGGTAAGTTCCATGTCTCAAAGTTCCGTTGTTTTGTTTTTTACCACCAATAATTCGCGTCTCAAGTCCAATAAGTGATTGTTTACTAGAGACATTCGGTAATCTTGTTATCATTTGAGGCATGAAGGGTCGTGTCAAGAGATTGAATGTTTTAAGACACTCGAAATTGGATGGCTTCTAGACCCTGGTAATCGCTATCAAAAGCTCCCCAAACTCGGAATATTCTGCTTGACACCCTCAGATAGCACTGCAACATCGAGGTCTGATCAGGTACAAAACTCAATTTATGAGGCGAATTACAACAGCGCGATCAGACACTAACAACTCACTAAGAGAGCAAGGATTTAAATTGATGAGTTGTCAAGCATCAAGTCGGGTCTTGGCAGGTACAGGCTCCTTTATCATGCAATCACATGCAAATCTGTTTCACATCTCGTCATCTCTTGAAGCGTCTCTGTCTCTGTCTTATTCCCCGTGTTATTCCATGTCGTCCAACCAGAATCACAAGCGACATGCCATTAGTCCTTTGTCACGTTCTTATCTACATTCCAACCATGTAATTGGTGTTTTTCGTGGCCACCCTTCAGCGTGTTCCATGTGTTGAGATTCATGACGCTAAAGTTGAACTACTCAAACTTCGCTCAAACCTCGTCTCGAAATAAGCCAGAAACACTCAGACCTCTCGTTTGTTATTATTCCCCATGAACAAACATTCGCAGTTTAGACTGGTATCATTCAGCTACAACTATCCCGTCATATCCCACCTTCTTTCGCCCCTCAACGCCATTACAATCGGGCTTCAATGACAAACGCTTCGCAATGGATAACTCAAGCATCATATCGGCCGAGGACCTCCCTCCGCAACCTGGCCGAACACTACTCCCCTCTCCAGTAGCTCAAGCCGTGAGTCTTGCAACTCGCTCAACATGCCTCGCTATTCGTCTCGGTTCCAGGGCCGGATCTTACGGTCTAAGTGCTGCAAAGGTAACCACTTTATCCTCCTTGGAACTTGCTCGCAGCATGGTCGAAACTGTTCTATCGCAAGCAGGAAGAGAAACACTCTCGCGGTCGCAAAGCGACATGTCTATCGTTGAAGCCGAATCCATCATCGAACGGAGTTTCGAGCATCTTCACCATGCCATGTCCCAGGCCGTCTTTTGGACGAGTGCAGGTTTTCACTTCACAAGTACAACTTTCTCGATGGCTTCAGGGATATCGCAGCTACTTCTGTCTTCACTCGATCAGATCTTCGGCTCAACTGATTCCTCTCGAGCCATTGCGAGTATCGTCACACTGATTAGACGGGAGTTCCATGACCCCGCCACCGGCATTCATGGGGATACTGTTGGTATCATGGATCTTGTGCTTGGGTTATGTGCTTTGGCATACCTACAAAGATGGTCCTGGAAGATGGTCGAAGAGGAAAAACGACGACAGGACTCCGAAGAGATCATATGGGACGTCGTTGTGTTAAACGATGGCGAACGTGTTGACATTCAAGATCGCATTACTCGAACACCAGCCTTCACGAGGCCGGCCGGTTCGACATCTCGGGACACAAGTCCTACCAATCTCCAGCAAGCCGTTATTGGTTCTCAATCCGCATCTTTTAAAGAAGAGGAAGCTGTCATCGACCAGCTCAAAGATGAAATGGTCAAGAAACTCCCTCCCGACACATCCGTCTCCATTTCCAACACAGTGTCATCGACACAAACAGTCACCATTGACGTTGACGGGCCTCGTCCATTCCCTTTACCTTTACTACCAGGTGCCGAGATCGTTGAGACCAAGGGATTGAGTAGTCAGGCAGGCCGTCGTACCAGTCAGATACTAAACGACCCTCCCGAAGCCTCCAGTTACCGTGTTGTCTATAGGCTCGAGCGATCAAGGACTGGTGACGTTTCCTTTCAGGGGTCTCAGGACATACCTGTCTCTGTGATTGATGTATCAAAGGGGGAGCCGGCCCCTGAGGTTCCAGCCAAAGAACCTCCCCAAGTGCCGAAGAAGGCGAGGACAACGGGAGCTAAGTCGCCTCCACCACAACGTTCAAGACCCGTCAAAAGTGCCAACGATCAAACATCCCGAACTTCTCCTCAGACCATACCAAAACCTCGAGCCAGTGTAATACGAGATGAAAAGGGGAAGTTCACACGACCAACTTCCGCGTCACCACCATCGTCGCCAGTAGAAATCAAGACTCCACAACGTGAAGCAAACCAGAAGAGACCTCGCGCACCTGTCAACTCCTCACAAGCCACCAATAAGACCACTGCCCCGCGAGAAAGCACTATAACTACCAGAAGAGTTTTACCCAAAAGGAAGTCAGATTCTTCGACAACGAGCCAGACAAGCGAGAAAAAGACTGGTCTCAGACAGGCTCTTCGAGATGGAAGTCAGTCAATCTCGAATATTTGGAACAAGGATTCACCGCCACCGGAAAGTAGACCTCGTCCACAGTCACGGATATCAACTGTTAGCAAGACTGGCAACAAACCCATGCATAGCCCGCGCTCTTCCTCGGATCAAAAGCGTATTGAGAAGGCGGAACTTATACCACGCAACCCTTCCCGTGCAAGCTATGTCTCCGTTCACGAACGTCGTCGAGATTCTATGATATCTCAAACAGATACGTACTCCATCCATTCAGGGTATGGCACCCCAACCCACTCTCCGAGTGTTTCGCTGAGCGGTGCCGCATTTGATTCGTCTTGGGTTCAGCAAGCCCAAAATGATGGTCTGCTTGCACCTCCTCCAATTTCTGCCGGTCACCGCAGGGTCCTTCGTAAGAGCCCAAGTCTTTGGAGCATGGCATCCAATGATTCACAATCATCGCTGGTCCTTTCATACTACCATCAAAAGAGCGCCTACACAGCGTCAGATGCACTTGGGGGTCTTCGACGTGATGGTACGGTGAATGGAATATTTCCTCAAGCACATGTACTTCGAAACATCACGAGGTATATGAGGTTCTCGTCTGCATCGTACGGTTCCGCGTTTCTCAAGTTCATGGGCATTTCGAAAGACATGCCCCTATTGAGAGCTTGGGATAGCACCCATACAGATGTCAGACACTTTGTCCATCATACTGAATCAGACACCCACAGTGTTCTTCTTGCCTCTATTGTTGATCCACAAGGAGGGACGGACTCTAGTGGTTCAACCGGTACTGGCGTTCCTTTGGTGCACTACATCTCCCTGGACCATGATGCTAAAGCAGTCGTGCTTGCTTGTCGAGGTACACTAGGTTTTGAGGATGTTCTGGCAGATATGACATGTGATTATGATGTTTTGACTTGGCGTGGTCGAGGCCACAAGGTACACAAAGGTGTTCATGCCTCAGCTCGTCGTCTTCTATACGGTGGCGATCGCCGCGTGCTGTTTACTCTCCGAGAAGCATTGCTCGAATTTCCATCTTATGGGCTTGTTCTCTGTGGCCATTCCCTCGGTGGCGCAGTGACGGCATTGCTTGGAGTGATGCTTTCCGAACCAAACCCAACAGGCACTGGCTTTGTGACTGCG